GGAGTTAAGTAGTCACGCCTTCATCTCCTGTGAAATAAACCTAAAAAAAAATAAACCACCGCCTATAACGATAATTCGCAGAAACCTACACAATATTAATTGCGTAAATTTTGACTGGCAACTAGGTAATTTGGATTGGGCTGGCGTATGTGAACTAGACAGCGTGGATGACATGGTGCAGCGTTTCAACTCCATGTTAATAGCATTATTCGATTTTCATGCACCATTACGTACCACGCATATCAAAGTTAAACAATACCCATGGATCACTTACAATATAAAACAAATGATCAGGCGCCGAGATGAAGCACATACAGCGTGCCGTACAAATAACATCAACTCAAAAAGAGAATACTACAGACAACTAAAAAAACCCGTTAGCGAGGCGTTACATGCTGAAAAAAAAGCGTACTATAACAATCATGTTAATTATCAAAAGGACCCAAAAACGCTGTGGACTCACATTAAAAAAAATATTAGGATGAAAAATAAACCTGAATTACCTACATATATTTATAATGACCCCAATCTTTTAAATGACCATTTTTTAAATGTATCAGGTAACACACAAATAACAATTTCTAAGATGACATTTTTTGAATTTGACTGTTGTGTTAATGAGACTTTCACAATTAACAAAGTGCGAGAACCGGAAGTGCTTGGCATCATTAAATCGCTAAAATCGAAGGCTATTGGAGCCGATGGTATATCTTTGGATATGTTGCTGCTGAGTCTGCCTACCACGCTGCCTACTATCACTGCCATAATTAACAGGTCAATAGAGACAAACACTTATCCTACAGCATGGCAACATGCAGTAGTAAGTCCTATACCCAAAATCAATAATCCCACCACTCTTAAGGACGTTAGGCCTATTAGCATACTCCCTTGCGCATCAAAGATTTTGGAGAAAGTTGTGGCAAAGCAGCTTACCAAATTTTTGGAGGTGAATAAGGTTCTTCCCAAGGTGCAGTCCGGGTTTAGGAAGGGTCACAGTACTACAACAGCAATGATAAAAGTTGTTGATTACATTATATCGGCCCAAGACAATGGTCAGGGCACGCTGTTAACACTTCTGGACTTTTCTCGGGCTTTCGATTGCATCAGTGTCGACTTATTGTTATCCAAGCTACACTACTATGGTTTCGGTGTCTCTGCCATAAAATGGTTTGAAAGTTACTTCAAGAATCGATCACAACATGTTGAGGTACACGATGATAATGGATCAGTATTGTCATCAGTCAGTCGCGATGTCAAAAGAGGTGTGCCACAGGGTTCCATTTTGGGTCCAATACTATTTATTATATATAGCGCTGATATAGTTCAACACATCAAACATTGCCAGTATCACATCTATGCAGACGATATTCAAGTTTATACCTCATGTAAACCTTGTGATACCCATAATGCAGTAAGACATCTCAATGAAGATTTAGAACACATTGCTGCATGGGCAGAATCAAATGCATTAGTATTTAATGGCTCTAAATCTAAATACATGGTTTTAGGCACTCGAAACCAGATAGCGAAAATTACAGGGAAGGGCATATCTTTGGCAATTAGGGGAGAAAATATTGAGAGAGTTAGTGAAGCTCGAAACCTGGGCTTGCTGTTGGACGAAAAACTACGATTTGAAAATCACGTGATAGGAGTTGCTAGGAACTGCTTTTATAGACTGAGGCTGATGTACCAGATTAGAAATTACCTTAGTCAAGAAGTCCGCATAAAACTCTGTGATTCGTTGGTACTATCAAAGTTAAATTATATGGATGTAGTATATGGGCCGCGGCTCCTAGCCCGTTCACAACAACTAGTCCAACGAGTGCAGAACGCTTGCGCCCGCTTTTGTTTCACTATACCACCACACACTCACGTCACACCCAATATAAATGATGCAAATATTTTAAAAATGAAAATTCGAAGACAACTACATTTGGCGACATTATTATTCGGAATAATAAAATATAACAGTCCATCTTATTTGGCCGAAAAACTGATCTGGTCTCGCGATGTGAAGAGCCGGTTCACACGGGACTCGGCCTGGTCGCTCGCGGTTCCCCAACATCGCACCAATGCGTTTCGTGGTAGCTTCAAATTCGCCGCATCGAAGTGCTGGAATGACTTGCCGCCACCGCTTCGAAGTCTGAAATCAATGCACACCTTTAGATTTAAGTACAAGGTATACCTTTTGGATAACCAAAAGAGCATACTCTGATAATCGCTTACCTCACTGGTTCCAGACTCGAAGCGTAGGCCAATCGTCCAAGTGCAAGGTTTTGCAAACTTTCCTTTTCATCATTGAACCCTTCATTAGATTGAGTCACTATTATTATTATTTTCTCGGTTCGAAATGTTTATTTATTTCTCACATATTATTTATCACTTACTGCACAGAATATTAACTACATCTTCATATAATATATGTATATACCTATTAATTAAGTAATTAAATTAGTTTACACTTATGCTGTTCTATTTATCTATGTATTCGTTTTATATATCTAGTGTAAATATTTTTATATATACCAAGCCTCACGCACATGTTACGCATGTATTTGTTTTGTTTATGCTCGAGTCCGTGCTTCACTCGTATCGGGTTTGCTGAAAACCAGCGCTCCAGGCTGAAATCTATCAGCCTGTAGCTAATAGCTGAGCAAATCCCGTTTGCGTGCGCCGCGACACGCATTTATTATTACATTTTTAATTATTTTTTTTATTATTTTTATTTTTATTTTGTTTTAATCATTATAATTATGTTTTAACTTTTGTTGTAGGTACTGTATTTTAGTTTAAAGTTTATAATAATGTATTAATTTTAAGATCATGTGTGTCTCGGTGCTTACGCAATAAACTATTCTTATTCTTATTCTTATTCTAAAATGTTTGCAAGTGTCGTGCAAGTCAATGACCTTTGGATCTAATTTGTTTACCGCAATTAAATAAAAAAATAGGAATTTACGATTTTTTTTTTCGATTTATTTTTTTAGTGATTTGGGTTCAGTTTCGGATATAGAATGCCTTTGTAAATATGGCGAGAATTCAAATCAACACACTGTATTATGAATAATTACAACGGTTACATGGACTCTTTAAAGACTATAACGAAATAAAAGACAATCAGAAATTACCACAATTGAAAAGGACGTAATTTAGGTACGTAATTTCTACATGACCGAACAAAAAAATTGTCTCAATAGGGATATTTATAAAGTAGCCGTTTTTAAATGTAAGTCACTTTAATATTATAATTTAACAATTAGCAATACTTCAATCGTTGACAGTATAATTATAAAAGCTGGCACAGCCAAGAGCACATCACACTTGACACTTTGAACTTCGGACCGTTCTTATCGCAACTGGCATTTAGTTGAAAGATGAAGAAGAAGAAGCTGAAGTTCCAGCTTGACGTGCTCTGGAGCCTGTACTTTAACTAAATCTATACGTAACAATGATTACCCTAGTATATAGACATATTGATTACTTGATAAAATATCTATTATATAAAATATGCGCCTCGACGTCGAATTGCATACACCAGCCCGCTAAATCACCGTCCACCATCTAGTTTTTTGGTGGAAGAAGGACGTGTTCTGCGTGGCCTGACGGCAATTTAGCCCGTTTAGAATGAATCTTATTAAAAATAAATATGCAGCTCAATTATGGTCTCCAGTCTTGGCAAGATTCTAACCAAAGTCCTGTACCAATTTGTATCATGTTTTCTGTGGATGACACTTAGTCATTTACGCGTATCATTATCACAAACTTTGGAAGCGCAATAATATGCGACCGTATGATACGCGCGGTTCTATCCAATTAACGATCATAATACGATACAGACACGAGGATACGTCATAATGATAATTCAGCCCTCCTTGTTATAACTCTAACGCATTTGCATTTCCTTGTAATATTATTGAAATATTGAACATGAACTAAAATTATTGTTAGAACTTTAACAAATATGCGTATCAGTGTTGTATGTTACAAACCAATTTTAAAACTAATGCTTGCTAACATAGGTAGATGGCGCTAATCCTAATCGAAATAAAAAATATCCGGCAGTATCCATAAAATGTATGCAATACGCGCCATACCTATAGTCGATTTATTTGTTATCACTAGAAATTAGAGTGGTCTTGACAAATTGCAGCTCGTCAAAGTAAAACTAATTAGTTACAAAAATTAGCTATTTGGTACTCCTTGCGAGATGTGTGGTCGTAGCATGGCAGTATATCGCATACAATATGTGATAAACCTCCCCGTGACATATTTATTTCAGTTGATAAAGCTATGTTGCCGTTGTATTTTTTATTGCGAATACTGAATCGGTGAGATACAGGACTAGAGTCATTCGTTCTTAAGTTATTTGGTAATGAACTATTGTTATACATTTTGAAGAACAGGATAACGGTACGAATATTTCACTTAGCTATCTTTGTCGTTTAATCATCGCCACGAAAACAACAAAACAAAAAATGTCGTTTTTTTTGTATTTTCAGTTTTTAAATTATATTAATTATTATTTGCGTAATTCTAATCAATCTCACGTAAAATTAAAGTCACGAACTGTATTAAAAATGTTCTCAGCTTTTTCCAATAATTTATACATGACAATTTGATTTATTAATCTCATTTGCCGCGTTTCATTTTTACGTTAAAAAAAATTACTGTGTAGGAACTGTTAAAAATGTTTTAATTTAGTTTTTGTATGTTTGGCACTGTCAAGTAACTTCGCGACCATTGGTAATAGCGCGCGAGGTGCAACAAAAATGTGACGTCCTGGTGCTCGCATAGTTAGCTATTGTGATAAAATTTTAAAATGTAGGTTTTATCACTCAAATTTGTCAGCAAACTATGGATTTAAAACTATTGTTTTTTGAAACTATGGTTTATCGCGGTAGCAATGCTACGGGGCCTGGTGCACCAATAGGTACTAAACACCCGACTACACTTTCTTGTATCCCAATTAGCAGTAAGTACTCTTGAGTTATTGATCCATTGGTTATGGTGAGGAGGGCAGAATTGTGGACAATATTTTTGACATTACTGATGTGCGCACATACCCTATTAAGAATGCCTTTCTTACAGCCACATTACGCGAAAATATTCCTAAACACGGGACAGTGATCTATAGCTCGGTTGGGGATTCTGTGCAAAAGACAAGAACACTTCTTCTAATGTAGTTTCCGTTGCCGAGTAGTCCTCAATAAGATTTGGATATGCTGCTTTGAGGCTTTCAAGTGCCGTGAATAGATCGCTGTTGTGCATTGTCTCGTTTATGTGGTAGTGCAGCATAGTCTGAAAATAAGGATAAGTAGAATAAGAATTTATCTTTTCATGATGTACAGTCTGTCAGTATAAAATAAGGAAGTTCAGGGGAAGCTATCATCTCAGGGCAGCGGTTTGGTTAGAACTCCTTTCGTCGTCTTTAGTCCAAAAGAAAGTCGGTCTAACTTTGAATTTCAGTCAGTCTACCAGTCTATCTCCGTGGTCCAAAGAGGCTGGACGTAACAATATATTTGAAAAGAAAATGCAGTATATATTATATTATTAGATACCATGAAGTTTTTACTACCATGAATTAGTACTCTACTAGATTGTCATCAAATATAACACAATGGAAGCGAAATTTTTGTAACGGTATCGTACATAGCATAATGAAGTTTATGGTATTTTTTACTTACCTATTTTTGCCGCCAAGCAGTAATGTGCTGACATTATGAATGAAATATTCGAATGAAATATTCTTTATTGCATATAAAATTACTATTAAAATACAATACAATGGCTCAAGTATAATAGTAGTTGTAAGTCAATGTGCAACAGGCGACCTTATTGCTATGTAGCAATTTCTTCCAGGCAACCTTAGGATAGACATTTCGGATATGCAAAAGGGGTGCAACCAAAGAATATCATAATAAGTACACTACATAATAAGTAATAATAAAAGTATATACATATCCATAGATAGATATACATATACATTCAAATAACAATAATATTATTAATACATACATAACAATAAATAAACAATAATATTAAATGCTTATATACTTTTAACGGAAAAAGAAAAATGTTGTATGAATGTAGGAAATAAATGAAAGGATAGTAGAGGACAGACGAAATTTAGGAGTTGAGGAAGTGATCCTTGACACGTTGTTTGAAGGAATCAAGAGAAGGGGATCGTCGAATCGATTCAGGGAGAGAATTCCACAATCTGATCGCAGAAATGGTAAAAGAATTGGAATAAAAGTTAGAGGTATGAGAGGGCAAGTTAAGTAAGAGAGTATCAGAGGAGCGAAGGGGACGACAGAGTGTAGAAGAGTGGAAAGTAAAGCAAGTAAGTAAGTAATGTAAGTAAGTAATTTATTTATTTGTACATAAAAATAAATACGGTTCAGTTACCAATAACAGGAACAGGAACATATTACACCTTATGGAATACGTATGTTTAAGACATGTACTTTTAAACTTTATCTAAACCGGTTACACTGGCTCCTACACTAGGCAAAGCCTGTCTCGTAGGTAACCAATTCTGGAAAGAATGTAAAGTCTGTTCCAATCCATTCCGAACAAACAGCAAACAAGAGTGTTTGATGACTCAATATATCGAACAAGCAACACATTCACGTATATTTCGAAGACATCGACTTGATATCTCACCATTGTCTCCAACAACATTCATCCGAACAGCATCGCAAAATTGTATGTGAGAAATGGTAGTCCAAAAGTGATGTTATTTTCATCTATACATCCATGACCTGTCTATAGTTGCTTATTAATAATAAATTAGGATTTCGGAAATCTTAGATATGGCTAGAAGACTCAATTTAACAAATCCATTCATTCAGTTAATTAATCGATATGTAGTTGGCATTACAAGTGGCCATCACTAGACCCTCTATGGTCGGTGATTTGTTAGTTTACACTTTGTTCAAATTGGACTGAAACGAAGTATACAATATATATTATATGCGAAAAGTTAGTAGAGACGAGAAAATTTCTAAAAACCAATGAATTACTTATTAAACAATGGAAAATTAAATAATCTTAATTACAAAGCAATTAAATTACTTGTGCGTGCATGTGACTGAGCGAGTGGTCGTGCGCGTGTGTGTATGTGTGTGTGCGTGTTTGTGTGTGTGTGTGAGAGAGAGAGAGTGAGTGAGTGAGTGAGTGTGTGTGTATGTGTGTGTTTGTCTATTTGTCTACTTTCAGAATTTGTTCAACATCCTCATAGCAAAGTGATTTGAGCCAATTTTTCACTTTTAAGTTTAGTTCCCTGACTGAGTAATTTTTCAAAGGAAATTCGATACTTATTTTGTTGTAAATAAAAGGATGGAGAAATGAGCTAAATTTCTGGGCAAAAGCCGATTTCGTTAAGGGTACAGGGATTCTAAACCTACGTCTTTGCAGCATTGCGGCATATTCAGGAAATCTTAACACCTCCGCGTGCAACTTTGTAACAACGCGCAAAATAAAAATCCCTCGAACACTAAGAACATCCATGTCCTTGTAAACAAGTATGGTTGGGTACCTGATGCGTTCCTTAAGGATGACTTTCAATACCGCTCGTTGCGCCCTCTCCAGGGGGAGCATACAAGTCTTCGAAGCCCCACCCCATGCGGTTATACAGTACGCTATAACGGACTGACATATAGAAGTGTACACTATTTTAAGCAACCATTTGTCCGCAGCGTTGCGTAAATTCTTAAAAACATATATAAGTCTGCGAACACGATTAGCTGTAACCACTATATGCCGCCCAAAATCCAATTTCTCATCAAAGACAACACCAAGATATTTAATAGCTGTTGTTCGGTCAATACGTGCACATGTACATTTTGATGATGATTGTCCTTGACAGGTATGAAGAGCAATGTCGGTGAAACCTGTTGGAGCTGAGGCCTTGGTCTTGTGAAAGCAAATAAATTTTGTTTTGGAGATATTCAGAGTCAGCAAATTGTTTTGAAGCCATTTTGCCACAGCATCCAAACCCTGTTCTGCGGAACTAGCCACTTGAGCCCAAGAGTCACCGTGGAAAAGGATAGCGGTGTCGTCCGCGTAACATATAACCTCAGCATTGTGCAAATTACTGCTATTAGGAATGTCATTGATGTAAACAATGAATAGAGTCGGCCCCAAAATACTTCCCTGCGGGACTCCGAACTGCACTGGTTTACAGTTACTCATAAAGCGATCTTTAAGATAAGAAGGCGTAAAGGGATAGAACAGAATTGAATAGAGAAGTGAAAGGATATGAAGATCTCTACGCCGATGGATGGGCAGCCATTTAATTTGTGCCCGAAATTGGGAGACATGGTCAAATTTACGTAGTCCGAAGATGAACCTAACACACATATTTTGTAGCCGTTCCAATTTATTGAGCAGAGTTACTGACAAATCTGGGCAACAAACATCTGCATAGTCCAGTATCGGGTGGAGAATGCTCTGGGCCAGAGTAATTTTGGTTTTAGTCGGCATAACGTTTTTAAGCCTTTTAAGGCAAAGAGAAATGCGCACCAAACACCTTCCTGCTAACCTTAGCACCGTGCGGCTTCCAAGTCAAACATTTATTAAAAATTACCCCCAAATTCCTGACTGTATCCAAATAAGGATACAAACACCATCCAAAAATCACAGGGGGTAAGGAGTCTAGATTTAAACGAGAATTGAACCAAGTGCTACCTATAATAATCGGTTGTGTTTTGGATGGGTTAACTTTAAGGCCAAAGGACTGACTCCATTTACGAATGGATTCAAGGTCCACGTTGGTAGTATTAATGGCACGTGGTATGTCTTGAATAGACGACTGGGTGTAAATCTGGAGGTCATCAGCATAAAGATGATAAGAAGAAGTGAGGGATTGTGTGATAGAGTTAATAAACAAAGAAAATAAGAGAGGAAAAAGGACGCCACCCTGCGGGACTCCGGCGGAAATATCGCACCACGTAGAGAAAGAATTCTCATTGCGTACACACTGCCGACGTCCACAGAGGTAGCTTCGAAACCAATCAATAACTGCTGGAGATATGTTAAGAGTATGCAGTACCTCCAATAATAGGTCAAAGTCAACACCATTGAAGGCATTACTGAAGTCAAGGAGTGTCAGCACAGGCAATTGTTGATTTTCCATACCTGCTATGCTGCTATATATATATCTGTTATGCTTGGCGGCTGATGATGCTTGGTGGCAAAAATAGGTAAGTAAAACGATTGCTGCGTTCCGGTTTAGAAAGGTAGGGGTGCTGGTGAAATTACAGGCATATATACTTGCCAATATATATGTAAACTCTGACTGGCACTGAAACTCTTATGGACAGGCGTTTAGCTTACCACCAGGTGCACGACTTGTTCGTGATGTTATAAAAAAAACGCCGTAAGTTTTTTATTTGTATTCGTGTATTTACTTGTAATAGTTATAGCAAACTAGTGGAGTTATTCACAAAATAAAACAAATCAGTAATACAAACCTTGTATTCATCTACGAGTGTACAGTTGAACTGGCTGCTTATATATGTTTTTAGGTTCTCCCGAACTACTACAGAGTCAGCATCGGCTTCTGCAAGGCAATCAACATTTTATATATTACTTATATATATTTTTGAGTGAGTAATATTATTTTTAATTTCTCCTAATTATCGTGTAACGTTAAAAGTTACCACGTGTCCGTGTACATTAATGGCGAATCTGAATTCTATTTACTAGGCAACAACATTTGAATTCCTCTGAATGATACTACCGCTCGGTCGCCACGCGGGTCGTCGCGTAGACCAAATTCAAGCCAGTATTTTGTCGCTGCGCGGCGGCAACGTGGTCTCCGCTCGGCGATCGCGCGGGGCAGTGCTACTCAGAGCTTTAAATCGCAAAGATCTGATAGGCACTGCCACTGCGCCCGTCACCCTGAGACATAAGTTGACAATTCCCATGTGCCTGTAATTTCATCAGCACCCTTACTCTTCCAAATCGAAACGCAGTAATACTCACATTAAGAGCTCTCATGCCAAAAAAGTTTTGACGTTGGCTCCGCTCAAATTTGTGAAACAAATATATGCCTGAAGTTCGCGTGACGTGCGACAGGAGATGTTGAAATTTTGCGCATTAAAAGTGCCAAATTCGTTTTAGCGGAATAACTCTAAAACTAAAGGGATTAAAAAAAATCCGTAGCGACAGTTGTCGATCATGCACAAATATAATTAATTATCTAATTTTTGTCCTAATAACCTGTAGCATTTCGAGGATGAATCGAAAAAATGTGAATATTAGATATCGTTTCGTGATTTTTATCTATCGAGGAAACTTTATTGTTTTATGTTTCTGATTAATGTCTATGCTTGAATATATCGTGAAGTTACTCATACAATATTTTATTTTTAACTTAAAAGTGTATGTACCCCTCTAAAATCAAATCGAAGATTAGGAATTTTACCTCTGCTCCCTCTTAATGCTTGGTGGCAGAAATAGGTAAATTGGCAATAATTCCCTGGACGAACTCTTTCTCAAGAAGCTCTACTGCTACTAAAACATTATACAGTGCGTTGATTTGCATTTTCGCCATAATTAAGAAATAATACTAAATCATCTAAAAATATTTAAAAAATTATTCTGTTCAATATATAATAATTGTATCTAGTAAAGTTTTGCAAAATTGTATCAACTCGTATGCACCACGCAAGGGCAGTGAGTGAATTTCACTTACTTTGGGAACGCGAAGTACGTACACTTGCGGCGTCTATCTAGATATACGTCTGTGGTGTTTACACAATCTTAGATGGCACGGCTCGGTTGCATGAACCAAATAAGTTATGCTTACTGTAGTCGGGTAGCAGCTTGAATCGTACGGCATGTCCCGCGGCGTGGTTGGCGCGCAGTGCTGCCGGCGAGCCCAGCGCACACAGCTCACCGCCCGACATTATAGCGATACGGCTGCACAGAGCCTCCACCTCGTCCAGGCTAAGATGGAGACCACTTGTTATTACTGTATTTCTGGGGGTCGATTCAGAACCTCACGATAACTCAGTTGTCGACCGATTATTGATATCGTACCGAAATAACGTCACGTCCAGTTCAGTTCCAGAACACCCAGGGCAGAACTAATTTAGAATACTCTAACTAGAAAAGTTCGTTTCCCAGCTAGTTCATATAGTAAACTGAATGAATGAATAAAATATTCTTTATACAGCAGAGAATAAAGAATAAAAGAGATACGGACACTCTCCGCCCCTCCCTAGTTTTAGATACCGCACCACGCCCCGCACATTGCCGGTCACATTGACTGAACGACAACAAGGCTGCCGGCGAGCCGTTTTCGCGTGAAGACGCTTTTGGTATTTGAATATAGTTTTAATTTATTCATTACAACACTTGTACGTTAATATAAAACATCATTTTACGTTACTATTTATAATATACGGCTGTTTATAGTCATTTTCCGAAAGATGAAACGAAGGAAGTAAAAAAAAACTTATATCTGAGACTCATTCAGTTATTGTTTTCTTCATTTATCAGAGTAATATACGTATGTATAAAAAATACAGATTTATTATATCAATATAATGAGACGCCATGACTTTGCGAATTTCTATTCGTATTGCCGATAAATATTACGTAGGTAGTGAATATATTTAATTATTAACTAAACTTGGACAAGCAATTTCAAATACCTTGGTTACCTTACTTAAAAGTACATGTTCGAAATATAACATTCTAAATGCTTTTAATATATTTTTGAAATCATATTATATTCAGGTTCGCGTTAGAATTTTCGCTATGTTGCCGTTCTGACCACGTAACGTAATAGTGCGAGAAAGTGATGGGTAACCCTGCCACTTCACGCACACATTTGCGCGTGTGCATAAAGCGCCTTGCTGTATGTAGTAGTAGTAGGTAAGTAATTTTCGATCGTTGTATGGAGTGTCCGGGGTGTGATGACAGTTAAAATACAATACAATAGCTTAAGTATAATAGTAGTAGCCAGTTAATGTGCAACAGGTGGCCTTATTGCTATGTAGAATTAAAATAAATTGTACGTCATCACCATCATATCAGCCGGAAGACGTCCACCGCTGAACATAGGCCCCCAAAGTTTGCCAGACTAACCTGTCGGACGCGACGTACATACATCCGTCGGTTACCCGCCGCCATCGAGTATATAACCAGAAATCGAGACGAAACAAGGGCCATCCGTCTCTGGCAACTCATCAAGCAAATGGCCGTTAAATCAGTTTTAAATATCAACTCTCGTTTGCGCTGAAATCACAAATTACAAAGCTGAAATAGTCCCTACAGCGCCAACAACTGCCCTGTGTAAAAGATATCTCTAACAATGGGGTGCTGTTCCATTCGGTGGTGTGAGAAAAACAGCAAAACATCTAATAACAAAACGAACGGAATTACATTTATCGGTTAATAAATATTAAATTATGCAATTTTCGTCCAGTATAGCAAAGCTGAAGTTAAACTGGTCGATTTGAAGTGAAACAATTGACGACACGCGTGAATTGTTTCGAATTCGGCCTGGCCAATCGGAGCGCAGTTTGATTTGGCAGAATAGTTTTCAAACAAATTAAATGTCATTTCATTTCGGGGTAACGCAAGTAATATCATACAAGTTTTTCGAGCTCAAAAGAGATGTATAAGGGCAATTTGTGG